TGTCTGATTTAGACAGTTCAGGGTAGATCATGTGTGTCACACAGCTAGTTGAGTTTATGTTTTGTCTACCTTAGTATAGGTAGCATCTAATAATTATGAAATACATCAGATAGATATAAAATCAGCATATCTGTATAGACAATTGATAGAAGACAAAGAAATATATGTTAAACCTCCTCCAGGTAACTTAATAGATGGATTACAGAATGGACAAATATTACAATTACAAAAAGTGCTGTACAGATTAAAACAAGCTGGTAGAAGATAGTATAAAACACTATCTAATATACTACTTAAATACAGATTAACAAAATCCAAACATGATAACACTGTATTCTTCACAAAGAAGAAAGAAATAACTGTAGCCATATTATTTGTACATGTCAACAATATTACTATTACAGTAATGAATAATAATACTATTACAATAATAAAACAATCTATTGTACATTATTTACAATATACAGACAGTAGCAAATTACACTAGCTACTTGGTATAGAGATTCAATGCAACAGAGAGTATAGATTCATCAGGATGTGTCAGACACATTATATTAATAGTATAATAGAACGTTACAAACTTACAAACAAACAAAGTGTACAAACACCTATACAGCCTAGTACACAATTAAAAACAGTATTGCAAACCAATAACAATAGAGAACAAATGTCTGATATACTATACATGAACATAGTTGGTGCACTTAGATACATTGTAGACTGTACATGGCCAGATATAGCATTTGCAACAAATCAGTTAGCTAAATACCTTAATAACCCTGGTATGAAGCATTATCTGGCACTTAAACATTGTTACATGTACTTAAAAACTACAAACAATGTCTGGCTCCAACTTGGCAGTACAAATCAATCAATATTGAACAGATATACAGATGCAGACAGTATGATGCAAGAAGGGCATCATGCAATATCAGGATATACATTTTACTTGAGTGATTCATTAGTTTCATAGTCAAGTAAAAGACAAACACTAGTAGCAAATTTGACGTATGAAGCTGAATTAATAGCTCTTGTAAGAGGAACACAGGAAGCAATCACACTTACTCATTTAGCTGAAGAGATTCTGCAGGTCTCTGATGCACCAATTAATATCTATTGTAATAACAATGCTGTTATATGAATGGTTACATTAGACAAACTCAAATATTTGGAACAAATGAAGCATTTAGATCATAAGAAAGATTTTATTAAATGCTACATTGAGTTAGAGTACATAAATGCAAAATACATACAGACAAATGATTAACAAGCAGACATATTAACTAAAGCACTACATGTACCACAAGTCAAACATCTTACCAGTTTACTCAGACTAGTAAGAGTTTGAAGGGGAGTATTATGAGATGATTAGTTCATCAATAGACAAACCACAAGACAATGACTTTATAATGTCTCAGTTAGAATACATACAATATAAGGACAAGAGACACTGAGCAGTCAATTGTCACCTCACCCCTTGTCTATGTGTGCCCCCCTTAAGTTTTCCCTCTCAACTGTAAGATATACTCACTTTACTAGTCCTAATCCTTAGGAATAGTAACAGAATAGAGTATAAAGGGTAAGACTTGTAGACTTGTATAGTGAGAGGGTAGAGGAGTCCTACTTTAGTCAAGCTGCAAGTGTAGCCTAGTAGGTTGGTAGTAGAGTACTTCCAAGTACTAGGTAACTTAAGTTGATAAAACTATCCTTTGAGGGCCAAACTGGCCTCCTTATATACCTTTTGCTAGAGTGATGTTACTCTAGTGACTTTAGTAACTCCCTTCACTGTTGTTCTTATGAAGTGGAGCTGGCTAATCCTTTAGACTGTATGCTACACTGGTTTGTGTCTTCTATTAATCTGCTGACACTAGTTTGTGTCTTCTTGTATCCTAGATTAATCTTCTAATGACTCCTTTACTGTATTGTTATGTCTTCTATCTCATACTTCTAATGACTCCTTATGAGTCCTCCTGACTAGTTATGCTGTGTAAGCTGTGTAATACTTTTCCCATGAAGTAGAGCTCTCTATTGTTCCTATGACTCTGTCTGACTTGACCTGTACTTCCTGTACACTAGTTTGTAATACACTTTTCTCATAAGGTGGAGTATTATGACTTCTAATGACTCTTTATGACTTCTGTAATATAAAAGGCTGTACTTCTGTACTGCCCCTAGAACTTACAACCAAAGTTCTAGACTGCCTTGTGTACACCCTAGAACTGACAACTAATGTTCTAGATCTTTCCCTAAGTCTTCTTCAATAGACTTAGTTTAGGAGACAATTATCCTTATTAACTTCTAGCCTTATCTTTATGCTTTTGTATTCAATCATAGAACTTACAACCAAAGTTCTAGATTGCCTCATGTATTCCTCATGTTGTCCTCATGTAGTCCTCATGTTTATGACTTCATTACTTTCCCATCTATATAAGCAAAGTGTATAAAGGAGACTACTTTCCTGTAGTCTCTCCTTTAGAGCTCTTAGTTCCCTTTCCTTCACTAGTACTAGTCCTCCTCAAGCATAGAGCTACAGAGTATTGGCTCTGACTCTTTCCTAGCTTTAATGGTCCTTTGTCTTTGTACAAAGCATTCCTAGCTAGCTATGTAGTAAGTAAGTATAATATTTTCCTTTTATCTCTTCAGGTTTTCTCCTAGTCTTTTCCTTTATACTTCTTGCTCTAGACACTATACTCTTTCCAGATCCCCTCTCTATACAAGCATTCTAAATGACTTGTCTTTGGTTGAGGTTATCAAGTAATACTGTGCTAGAGTATGTGTTTAACCTTGGAGAGATAAAGACCTTGTCCTCAGGTTTTGTTACCTTTTCCTAACTGACTTAGTACCTACTCCTTCCTGTCCCCTCTCTCTGCTGATGGATTGATCACCCATTAGTAATGATTAGAGGTTAATAATGCTGAGCTAGAGTTCTTACTAAGCAGGACAACAAAGGTAGCCTAGTTGATCTGGCCAATCTCTAGACTTGTGACCAATAGGGTTTTGTATATAAACTACTCAGTCCCAAGTCTTGAGTTAAGCTTTTCCAAACTTAGTTACTGTATTTTACAATTCCTAACATTAACAGTTATTTTGTCAGACTTTACAGTCTTTATTACACTTTGATTATTGTAATAAATCATAATAGGTGCTGATTCAGTCTGTAGTACTTCTTCAGCAAATTGTTTGAGCCAAATGGCTTCTTAAGTAGTATATGCTAGTGCTTACAACTCTGCTTTGTAAACAGATAGTAGTACCAGGTTTTACTGTTTGCTTAACCAAGATATGGTTGATTTAGCTAATTGAAAGATGTAACTGTTTATTACTTTATGTCCTTCTGTCATTTGTCTGTCTGTATCACAATAGCCTTGTAGTTTTAAGGTCTTTGTGCTTCCAAGTTGAAGCCAACAATTTGTTATATATTTTAAATATGTAAAGCAATGTTTCACTACTTTGTAGTGATACATTTGGGGCTTTTGTAAGTAGTGTACTAATTACCTAGTAATATAAGATATGTCTGGCTGTGTACAATCTGTAACATATCTTAACAATTCTACCATATTCATGTATAGTGTTGTTTCATTATTACCTTTGTTTGTATTGTACATATTGTTTGTATTGTTAGATAGATCTGTTCCAGGAGTAATAAGCATTTGTAGTACCTTTTTGTTTTCAAAGTAGTAATGCTTGATTATACTTCTTATTTTAATACTAAGTAACTAATGTATTTTGTTACTGTTAGTAAATACAACATGTTGTCTTAATACATGTTTAAATGCTGTTACTGCTCTCCTCTCTACCTTCTGTAGAGCTACCTACACACTGTACTAACAAAGTTGTAAGTACAAACCTACTGTTTCTTTAACCTATACTCCCCTTATAGTTGAGCATATTATTATAAACTCAGACCTGTCTCTACTAATGTGTGTTAAGACAATGTTGGCAAGCAAACTACTAAACAGTCTACTAATTGTCTAGGACAACACTTAGAGCATCCTACCTATAGTTGTAGACCAGGTTAACACAACTCTACCTTGTAGTTTCAAGCCTTAAGGTATTGAGCCTTACTTTATACACAAGGACCTAGTAGAAGTTGACTCTTCACCTTGTGTCCAACTCCCTTCACCCTTGCCCTTCAAATATGCATGTCCAGATCTGGTACTACACCTGTGCTCAAACTGTAGTCTAACCTACAGGATTATAGCTGTACTTATAGTACACTTGTACTATACATGTTTAAGTATCATTCTTAACTACAAGGCTGAAGCAGAGTACATTCTTGCTCAGCCATCCAGTCTAACACCCCTGCCCTCCCTATCCAGCCTAATGCTCTAGCCTTTCCCCTACAACTGAACCCCTTGTCTGTACTACCCAAACTCAACATTTGCCTTAGTAGAGGCATTCTAACCTTACACACACTATAACTACAAGCTACCCCCTCTATCAAAATCAAAGTTACCCCTCCCTCCTGTTCACAAGGAGGAACCTGACTTGACCAAGAAGTTCACATGCCTCATCCTAGGCTGCAACCATTAGTATAAGTATAAACAAAATGTTAACACACACTTACACAAGAAACACTCTAACTTAGACTATAATAAGATTTTAACCACCTGGTAGACAGGCAGCCCTTCACACATATTTATCTTATTTTATTCATTTCCCCTTTACCCCCTTTGTCCTACTCTAGAATACTTGTTTTCTCTTTCTATACAAGTAGGAGGCCTGGCAGGTTTTTTCTCTCTCTCTTCCTTATACCTGACTGCTTAGAGCCTAGAGTAGTGTATTTCAAGCCACAGCTGTGGGAGTTTTTTTTGTAGTTGATTTTTGTTTCTTTATTTCAGCATAATGGAAAGACACTTGCAGAGAGTTGCACGGATTTACATCTCTATTTGGTATATATTAAGGTACGTCCACTTTGCCAAGCCACCCCAAAATTTTCCAACCGTCCTGCAAGTGCTCCTGCCAATTAATTGAAGTCACCTAAGACCAATTCCATTCTCAGATTATCCTATCAGTAACATAAGTATTTCCACCTCTATACTCTCGATTGTGAAGTCTAATACAAGTGCATTCTTTCCATCATTTATATCCAGGCAAGCTCAGTGCTGGAACATCCATTCTGGCGTACACTCTCCCCTGCTTTTGCCAACCGTACAACAGCCTCTTTGATCTTATCTTCTTCAATCTGGCTAAACGGCACGCGCACATACGGCGTCTCTTTCACATCTGGCATGAACGAAATTCCAGGTAAGGGGAGTACACCCTCTGTAATGGCATATGAGAGTATGCAGTCAGAATTCCCCTCTGGATTGTCATGTGCCCCTCGGAGGGTGTGAGAAGTAGACGGGTTATCTAACAAAAGCTTAATCCTACAGAAATGCTCATTCATGTTAATCATATGCAAGGAAATATTGCGCTCACCAGAAAAACAATCTTGCATCTGGAGTTGTCCATTCTGCCAGACCCTTCATGTGCTTTTGCAAAGCGTGCTCGAAAGCATCCCTTCACCTCCTGTAGAACTCTGCAACGTGCTCTGCATGCTTCTTGAATCCTTCATGTCCCCAAGAGCACAGGAATGTATCAGCAATAACTTGGGTAAATGTCGAAGCTTGTAAATTCGATATTGAGGTCTACCAATTTATTTTATATTAACCCTAACCTGAAATGTCTAAGCTGTACGGGCAGGATTATAATAGAACTTACGTGAACATTCACAACATCAATATTGACCTCAGGTCCACAAGCAAACCCAATTCGAAAACCACCCGAGATAATCTCTGACAGACTATCGAACCGAGCAACGCTCCCCACCTCTGGTAGCTCGTGCTCCAGTGCGAAATACAATGCCAGACACAGTGAGTCTCCGTAATAATAGTAGAAGTAAGGGTCATCTAATAATCAACGTCAAGGCGATCAAGATTTTTGGATTGACAAATTTGCAGATTTGCTGTTGTCCCTACCTTCGAAGATCAGGAAGTTGTATTTTCTTGCCAAGGCGAGGATATCCCGTCGACGTTCCTCTGATGTTGTCGCTCCAAACGGATTACCTCTGTACTATAGAAAATTATGTCCATAGATAAGTTACTGTCATGAATGGAAGGAGAAATGGCTCACGTACCGGAACTGTATACAGAATCTTAGGAAACGGCCTGGATTCCGGCCAGTTCTCCAGGATTTCACGTAGATTTGTTGATTTTGTTCCATCATTATCTGTGTCTATCGCTTCGTGACAGTAAGTCAGCGCAAATGTCGAGTCAGTACGAGCAAACTGAAATTTAGACAACGTCAAATACATACGTATGATGTTTGCTTTCAATCTTTGAAGCAAAGTTATATAACGCCTGATAACGTCAAAGATCGAAGACCGTCATGTCTCGTCGAACGCGTACAATACATGTAAGGCAACAACTTACGCGTACGCTGGCGGCTCGATCAAGGCATAATCTCCAGGCTGGATGACCGCACTGCTTGCTTTCAGATCTGTCGGCAGTACATCCTCCTCTTGCTCTCACACAGAGCAACGCTTTTTACCTTGTACAAAAGGTCCTGCGCCCCACTCCCAACCGTAAGTCTCCATCCTTCATGAAGCTTCCGTCCATCCATTCAATCAAAGACAGAATCCCATGTGTTGGTCCATATTGCAGAGCCTGCGTTAGTTTTTCGCCAATCACCCTGAATGCATCCTCTTTGTCTTGGTCGAACGGCGACTTGGCCGAGAATTGGAAGGATGTTAAGGGGAAGACGGATGCATTGGGTTTCCCAGCGAGCACGGAGATCATCCCTGGTTGGCGTTCGAAGGCCTCAAATTGGCAAACTGTGTATTTTCGAAGCAAGATTGATTTGTCACTGCACATAACATATTGATTGGGAAAAGGTGTGATTTGACTCACTCGGATTCAGTTTCTGGCTAAAACCATCTGTCAGGAAACGGTTGTAAATTTCACGTGACAGATAGGTTTGACCAGTCTAACATCTGTAAAGCACGTTTCAGCGAAACAAGGCGGAGCATATACAATCCTGATGAAACCGTACTGATTCTGTTGAAGAATCCGTAGTCCTAGCCAAAGGAGCATTTCGCTCCATTCGTTCGTCAATAAAAGAAGTTTGCAAGAGATGGCTGGTGGGTATCTCAAGTTGCTCAAAATAGACTGGCAAAGCGACGAATTTATAGAGAAAAGAGTACCCAGATCATCTCAGGCACACGTAGTCAAGACCGCAGCTGGGAGCATTGTAGCATTGCGCTCTTTGTTATTTTCTTTAGCATCAGGGTATTAAGAGATTATTTACAAACCGCACAAGCCCGAGTCCATAGAGCATCCCATTAGGAGACCGATAAGAGCACTTCATATTCGATATGAGCAAGTCCAGGCCGGGCGTTGTTCCGTCGCACGTCGTGAAGTAGCGTATACCGGAGCATGCGTAGCATCCGTTAAGCATTGGAATTTACAAAAGTCCGCAGAGTGAACGATAGCGATGTGCACTAGATCGATATTTTCGGTGAAAAGATGTTTCGTCTGGGGTAAAGCATGGCCAGGTATCCAGGAACACCTTACGCAGCATAAGTAATGAAGCTATGCGTGAGCCGGTCATGATACGAAAGATTCATGACTGAATAGCGCTCTTGATCGTCCTGTTATAGGCCTACTCGCAGCCGCGACTGTCAGATTGTGAAACAGACCAGTCGACTTGGCCTAGCATCAAGTCTCAGCATCATTGAATCAATGCACAATTTGTAGAACTACATCCGAGTACGAGATTTACACCTGTTTCGGAGAATGGCAGAGTACGCGCGAAATGTAAAAGAGGATCCAAAATTGCGATACATCCAGTACGTCGATTGAGTAAGAGTGCGTACATGAACGGCCCCGTACGTACAAAGTCGTGAAGATAAAGATAAGCCACTCATCCCCATTCTGGTCCAGAGTGTTCGAGCGAGTGAATTAAAGTTATCCTTTTCGATTCCATTCCGCCACAGTATGGGTGTGCGTCAGTTTGCTCCAAAATTAGATTAGCCTAGACGGCAAGTAACTCAACACACAGCTTTCTATCCTATCATAAAGGTCAGTATCACTTAAATAAGAGCCAAATGTCTCAAAAGCACACCATGTCCCGCTGTCGCATCTTCAACCACTCCACCTTCCCGCATCAACCTCCTAACCTTCCCAATCTCCTCTTCACTCACTCGCTCCCCAGCATGCAGCCTACTTGCCAGTCCCTCCAACAAACCAATTCTCGCCTCGGTATGCTGTCTGGAAGCCTCACCTTCCTTACGCGTAGAAAGGAGATGAAGCGCGAGTGAGGTGAGTGCAGTTGTGTATACGATATGTGGGAAGTAGGTGGGTAGAGGCATGGTGGAGATATTATGTAATAACTTACGCGCGGTTACTTAGTTATTTATGCCGTGTTTGGCAAAACAAACTCCCAAAAGATGGATTAAAGATTTAAAAAAATACAACTGCAAAAGCACATGAAAATAAAAATCTGTAATGTTAAGCTAAGTTTTGTGGTGGCTGAGGACTTTCTTTTTTCCACATTGGTATCAGCCTCCAAGTCTGAGGACTTACAAGCTAGTTGTAAGCTACCTTGATCTCTAGTTACTGACTGGCCGTATAAAAGGGTGCTATAATATCATATATATCATATACATAATATATCTTAATACAGCAGCGGAAAAGCTACCTTTAAACACATCCTGCAAATCATTTTTTTCATTTCATTTATCTTATCTACAAACTCGTGCTGCCCATGCGTCCGGCGTCAAAGGGAAGGCGATGCCTGGCAAAGACATTAGACAACGTGGCCGAAGTTCTGAGGTCTAAGTAATAACGGGAAGTCCGCTCCGGAAGGACTGTCTAAGTGTAATGGAGGGGAAGGCCTTGGGGACGTAGCGCGGAGCCGCGGAACGCTGTGTAGGTTCCTCCGGCGGGAAGTAGTAGAACCTCACTGTCTATATTGTCGTATAAACTGTATGTGCAGTGCACGTCGTGTCGGCCGATGGGTATCGTCCCGCCGGGTCACGCATTGAAACAATTTTTTCCCTACTCTACGCGGATCCTAATCTTCGGAACCGCACTAAGAAGAGAAGACAGAAAGGAAAAAGGCGAAGAGGGAAAGAAGTCGAGAAGTGCTGATAAAGTAGAGTAAAAACGAAGGAAAGAAAATGGGAATGTGATTTGTCCGACGGGGATTCTGGAAAAGATCTGCATCATGGATGGAAATGAAGTGCAGTGTTCTTAGAAGCCAGACTCGCGGACTCGCGCCGAGTCGCGGGTTGATGGAGTTGGTTTGTGTTTGAACTTTGATCGACTGGATGTGGTTGAGAAAAAAATTGTGTTGAGGTGGGTGCTTATGTCTGAGTAAATTGTTCTCAGGATAATCAGTGTGCGCGGTGGACAATATTTTTAGATAAATTTGACGACCTGCAAAGAATCGTCTGAGAGAGAATGCAGGCGGAAAGCGGGACGGAGAGGAACCAGCTGCGTCGGACGGAAACAGCCGAACCTGTAGTCTTCTGGACGCTGTCGATAATTTCTGTTTCGAGAGCCGCGATTTCTGTTGGCCATCCATCCATCTTCACCCGTCCCTCCCTCCCCTGCATCCCTTCCCGATTTTTTTTTCTCAGCATCATCAGCATCAGCTGAGCTGCGACGGGTCACCGGGCCAACCTCTTTCTCTCCTTTCCTCTCTCATCATTTTTCTCCTACTACTGTACTTCGACTCCTTCACCGTTGTCGTTGTCCGTCCTCTCTTCCGTGCCTCTTTAAGTCTTTTTGCTTTCCGTTCCTTTTTGTTCCGTCTTCTATACTCGGTCCTCGGTGTTCGGCATTCAATTCGCTCCTCCGACCGACTTCGAAGCTAGGTGTCGGACTGTTGGCCGGGACGTCGTGTCGCGGATCGCCTTGACGCGTGTCGGTTTTTTGCTGTGCTGTGCTCTCTGTACGCGTGTCAGAACCAACAAGCCCAACAAGCAACAGGTGCACTGCCATTGGTGCCAACAAACTCGATCCTATCATCGGTGACTGATCCTCGTTGCACACTCCGTTCCTTCTTCTTTCGCGTTCCTGGCCACAATCATAGTGACAGTATCCTTCGCTGCTGCTGTTACTGTACACCGAGTTGCCGAAAGTAAACAAGGTCGCACGCGTTTGAAGTGTGGTCGCGTCAGGTACGCTCCAGGTCCTTCCCCCGGTGTTCATAGCCTTTTAGCTTTTAGCTCGTCTCGTGTTTCGTGTCATCTTGTTTTGGCCCCGGTTTGCGTACATGCCATAACAGCCTTTTAATTTCGCTTTTGACTTTGCACTGCTTTCGTGCTCCGGTGCGGAGTGACGTTGTTCACCGGCACACATACGCTAACTATATATTCTCTCCCATTTATCCCTCTAACAGACTGGGCGTTATTAAGCTCTGAGCTGCTTTGGAGCAATTTGCTTAACTACCTAAGCACCGACTACCTCACACTTGCATCACGCACGCGTACCTACCTCATCTGTGTTCTTCGACCCAACCGAATTTACTCGTTCGACTGCGTACGCATCTCGTCTAAGGGACAGCACCTCTTGTTAGGCGCTCGTATATCCTACTGCGGCGCTCCCACACGCGGTCTATATTTGAAGGCGCTTGCGTATCTTGTCCTATCCTTTGACCTTGGTCGCACTCTGCATTCACACTATCGCCCGGTTCAGTTAACACATTCGACACGATCTACAAGTCGAGGTATTAAGCGGGGCTAAACCAAACCATGTCGTTCTCACCAGCGAACTCGGATACCAAGTCAGAGGATGTAGTCTTGACGGATGAGAAGCTCGAGAGGGTACGCCCTTCCCATTCCTTGTTCTAATCATTAAAGATGTCGGCCTTATGCGTTTCCGAAATAGGTCTTCCGAGAAATCGAAGAAGCAAGCGAACGACGCGCGATGCTCGAGGCTGCTCGGGAGAAAGAGGCTCGGGCGAAGGAAAGAGTAAAGGACAAAGAGAAAGAGAAAGGCAGAGAGAAAGAAAAGGAAGGAACGCCCTCACCTCCTCATTCAACGAGTCCGCTTCCGCTTGACCCACTCGTTAGCGCGCTCTCCAACGTGAATGCGGACTTGTTGGGGAAAGAGAAGAAGAGGAGGAGACAGAGTATCACTATTTCGAGGGTGGGCAGTGTAAGTTGAACCGTTTCTTATTATTCTAAATGTTGGAAGTGTTCGAAATTTGCTAATACGCGAGGTTGTTGGATAGTACCCTGATGTCCCCGCCGAACTCCACCGTACTGCGAGCGGTGTAACCTCTCCCGTCCAATGGTCCGCTTCACCTTTATATCGTGCCCACGTACGTCTACCTCATCATCACCCATCGTTTAAAATAAATTTACCAAACGTAACATATCTATAAAGACACATACAACATCAACAACCTCCCTAACTTCCACCTCCTCCCTCCCCCACACCCACTCCCGCTCGCACTCTCATCACCACTCCAATCCTAACTCACACCCAAACGACTCGAATTCCTCATTGGACCGCCTACAACATGAAGAAGACCTCACACACACAACTCAAAAAGAAACCATTGTAGGTCGTCGTAACACACTCACAAAGGCAATGTCCAACGCGTTTTCGAGGGGGATCTTGACGAGGATGAGGTCTCGTGGAGCGCTGAATGAGGCTTATAATTATAATTATGGTGGAGATTTAGGTGTGATTGGGGGAGTGGAGGGTGAGGGTGTTGTTATTGGTGTGAAGGTGCATGAGGCGAGGACTGAGAATGTCGAGGAGTCGGGTGATCATGCATCTGGGCAAACGGGCACAGGTGAAAGTACGTCGCAGAGTGAATCTGGTGGAAAGGAAGCTTCTACCTCGGACACAGCGGACCCGAGTAGGCGGATGAGCATCACTACTACGACCGTTGGCGGACCACCCAAGAAATCAGAGAGGGAGAAGACGGGGACAGGAACGGGGGCGAGGGATCGGTCGGGGAGTATCTCAAAGTTACGCGGGAAGCTGCCTATGTCTTTGCGATCTCCATCTTCTACACCAGCGCCGTTACCGACACCGAAACCGACACCGTTTGATGCGCGACAAGCTGCGGAGGACGCGTTGTTGATTTCTGGGGCTGGTTCTGGTGAAGGTACTGGTAAAGGGAAAGAGAAGGGGAATGGGAACGGAGGCAATGGGGGAGAAACACCGACGAAGGATGGTACGACGACCCCAATCCCAATCCAAACCTCCACCTCCATCTCGGTCACCCCAAACCCGAATGCGAACGTGAAGCAAACGCGACGAATCTCGTACTTTGCAAAGGCCCTTGCGGCGAGGTTGAGGAAGAAAAGTGAGAAGGGGAAGGAAAAAGAGAAACAAAAGGTGAAACAAAACGAGAAGGGTAAGGATAAGGATAAGAGTGGGGTTGAACAACAGCCTAGTGAGGAGCGGATAGGAGGAGAAGATAAGGAAAAGCGGGAACGAGAGCGATACGTCCTACCCGAACCGATACTTACACCGTCAGCAGTGGCAGCTGCTACCTCTTTCCCTTCTCCCTTGCCGTCTCCAACTCATTCATCCTTACACTCTCCTTCACCCACTCCCTCGCATTCACATAGTCATTCCACCTCACTCTCACCTGCACCTTCACACTCCACCTCCAATTCCACTGCAACGTCCATTTCCCGGTCAACATCCACATCCACGTCCAGTAAAAAGGGCAAATCAGCTTCACTCACCCTCCCGACAAGGATCGCCATTCTCGAGGAACGAGAAAGCGAAGAAGAAGTGAGGGAGGCGGCGATGGTACCGTTACCGCCGTCGCCTGCGCCTTTTGCTTCTTTCGTAGGTGCGAGGAAGGCCACTCCCCCGACTCTGACAACGTCGACAATACAGAAGCCGGAGGATGTACCACTCCCTCCCTCACCTTTGAACGGGAGTTCTGATTCGTTGGGACGCATACAAGAAGATGGAGGGGTAGTAGACCCGGCTATGATCCCTCTCCCTCCATCACCTACTTCACTCTCGTTCCAGGTCAAGTCGACGAAAGAGGGCAAGGAAGAGGACAAGATCTCGAACTCTCCACCGGACGTGGAAATTGAAACAAAAAGGGAGATGGTGACGGTGCGAGGATGTAGGCTCCCTCCGTCTGCATTGCCTGATTCAGATTTCGGGCCTTTGGATGAGTCTGAGATTGGGCTGAAAGAGGCGTCGGTTTCTGAGGGGCAGGAGGAGGAGGTTGAGGTCGTGCCTTCTAGGCCTGGTGGTTCGGGTGAAGACACGGAGAAGGCAACGGCGGGTTTATGATCCCTGCCCCTCGCAAGACCCATATCCGTCTCTCTTTTTTGCTTTCATCCTACTCTCCCCTTTCCAACCATGCATACATTGATTCATCTTCTGCCTCAATCCACATTTTCAAATACCAGCATTTTTTTTGTCGTATCATTTCATTCATTTTCTCATCAATCTAGCTCTATCATCATCCATCATCCATCATCCATCATCCATCCATCATCCATCATCTCATCCCATCTAAGTTCGATTAATCCAATTCACTCGCTACTGTTTTTGTTTTGTTTTGTTTTCGTGGAGTTGCAATATCCAAGTTCATTTGCCTTACTCAACTATTCATCCATCTATCTCTCATCATCTATTCATCTGTTTGTTTGTCTGTTTGTTCGTCGCTTGCGTGTGCTTTGCTTTTGCTTATGCTTATGCTTATATCTTTGTTCTTTCGTTCGTTCATTCACTCATTCATACCTAGGATATGGATACACCTTGATTTGGTTTGGCATAGTCCAATTTAGTTTGACTTACCTTTTGTGTTGGATTTTTGTTTTTGGAATTCATCATTAGCGTCGGAATGGTATTTCAATCAGTAGTCTCGTTATTTGATTTTCATCTCTTTCGTTCCTTTTTTTCGTTCAATCTTGTCCTCACTCAAACACAAATGAAACTCTGGAAGGATCTTTGAGTTGTATTTTGCAGTTGCATTTTTGATATACCTATCTATCTACTCTCTTAAGTATCTGACTACTCGCCAATTCGACGTTCCTGCCTCGTTTTCCAGCCAGCCCATTGTTGGTCGTTAGCCTGCTCACTCATCTGTTTGTTTGTTCACTAAAAGTATCTACAATTTACTTCACCTTACATGTTGTCTATATAGATTATCTATCAATTCAGCTATCTATTCATTCTATCTTAACCTAATCCAAAAATGCTTATTCTAAACTTCCAAATTCATAACTAAAGGAACTATTTTTTACTAGTGTACATTGTTATTTATTATTGAAACTGACCAGCCTACAGCATCTTTGGATAGAATTTATCTGTTATATATATATATATATATGTAAATATTGTTGCCTCATGTACTCAGCATGGCAGTACAAAAATAGATTCAAGGGGGTCTCTGGAAGGCTATACTGTATTACAGTATGGGCAAAGAGTCAAAGACAACAACACAATGTTAGCAGCTTGTCTTCATCCCAACCTCTGTTGTACCTGCTTAGCACCTGCATCTGATGTCATTGATGAATCTTGAGTGTAAAGCTTATTAGGAGGAACTCCTAAAACTTGGATACAGATTCCCTCTATTCCAGCCCAATCTAGTAGGGTATGATTGTGTCTGGATAGGAGATGTCAGTATTATCAACAGAGATGGAGGCTTCACAACATTCTTTAATTGCTTTGCAGGAGCTGATAATAAAATCAATACCTGATACAGTGTCCCTGAGGGTTTCAAGCCATTGGAAGATATATGCTGACAGACAAAAACTAGAGAACTGATAGAGCTACAGGTCCTTGAGTCACAACATACTAGTTCATCACGAAAAAGTCGCAACAAATGTAATTAATAATAGCAAATATAACATAATAATGTACTTATATATTAATTACAATTCAAAATTACAATTATACTTTGCTTGTAATTGAAATGTAACAAATGTATATAAATGTAATACTTATACAAGAGTTGTATTATACTACAATTGTTTTTTGAAGCAAGTAATGTTACTACCAGTATTACTACAATATTATATGTGAGACATAAGTACTTAACTTTTATTGTAATATGTTAAAATTGTATATAAATTTATATACAACAGTAGCCAATTACTAATAAAGTTTATAACAGTTCTCTATTACTCTTGTAAGTGTTTTATAAGAGTTCAACTTTTGTTATATTACAATGGAAGTATTACATTACTCTTGTAATATATAAGTTAGAGTAATTATACTCTTATAAAGTAAATAATTGGCTAAACAGTTGTTTATAATAAACTCATAAGTATCTTAAGTACTAGCCAAAATACATGTACATTTATTCTCATCAGTCAACAGAGCATTATAATAATAATATTTAAATGTAAT